TAGAAAAAGACTTCCAAAAAATATCTACAGTAGGGCTTGAAAAAGCTACAGAAAGACTTTCACTAATGTAAATTTAGCCCCTTTCGGGGGGTAAGGATGATTTGTGGGCCCCAAAAAATAATTGATGGTAGTGATATTATGCCTCCTTTTAAAGGGTAGGTAAAGAAATGTGGTGTCACCCTTTTGAAGACGCAGGAGGCCTGTAATGAAAGGTGGGATTCCTCATAATATAATTCATGACTAGGGGAAACTCCCAAATCCCAAAAATGTGTTTATCAAAAATTGGCCCCTATAATTTTTTTATAAGGAGGGTTTTTGAGTAGTGCAAAATTGTGGGAATTAACAGCATTGGAAAAAATGTAAAGAAGAAAGTCCAAAATTCTTTTACCGGGATAAATACTGAGGATTAAAATTTGAATCGGGAAATACGGGTACACTTCCTGAGAAAAACCATCCAAATTTCCCCACTAATTACAGAATGGCTATGGAAAATTTAAAAGGCCAGCTCCACGAACTGAGAAGAAAACCAAATGTTTGCCCAAATACTTAATTGCGAGCAGTTAATTAAAAAATTTATAGAAAGGTACTCCGAGCAAACCAAAATTTTGGTCATATTTTTCCCCACATGGATGAAGGGATTCAAAACCATCCTCTGAGAATTGTTTTAATTGTATGCCCGGAAAAAAATGTACCAGTTTAAATGACGTTTTATGACAGGGCCGCGGACGGAAAAATCAGGAGTATCTTTTAAATTTCAGGATGAAAAATTATGCTTTACGGGTGACATAATAAAATTTCCTAAGAGTGGGTTTACAAAAAGGCGACCGGATTGTACCCCCTTCTTAGGCCTAAATCCTATTTACCCACTTAGCCCTCTGAAACCTTTCGCTTTAGGGGCGTATTATTTGGGGTAATCCAGTCCTTCCCACTTCAAGCGACGATAAATGCACACCCTTTTGTACGGGGGAATCCAATGATAAAGTAAATGAGCAAACAATTTTATGGACAATTTTTCCCGGTGTGCATCAACGAAGGGGAAAAATGTTAATAAATTATGGAGAGGCTAATAAAAAAAAAGCAAATGCAAAAGCCCCTGAGAAATGGAATAGTAATTGTCCCAAAATTTAAGGACAAAAAAGTAAAGATTACCCCAGTAGTGCCAAAATGTAGTAAGTACTGGGGTTTTAAAATTGGGGTCTGAAGAGATTGTTTAAAGTTTTAAAAACCCAAAAAAACGTATGCCCAAAAATTAACTAAGAGAGTTTTGCTGAAGTTTCCCAAAAGTTTGACCACTAGGTTTATGTCACCCCTTACTATAAGGGGGAAATTATTAATACGGAAGCTGGAAACTTAAAATTTCTTGGGGTAAATTCAACCTGAGGAATTCATTAACAGGGGGGATGAATTAATTTTTTTATGAGAAAAATTTCCCTGTGGAGTTTTCCCCCCCAGGTGGCCAATCCAAATGGGAAAATGACTCCACTTTTTTTTTATCTTCAAATTGGGATATGGGCAGTTCTTACCTTCAATGTAATGTTTTTTCTTTGTTATGTCTAAGGCAAAAATGTCCCCCAAATTTAAAACCGTACATTACCTCAGTTGGGAAATTAACACCATTTATGTAGTTCAAAATTTCCCAATTTAAAGAAATAAGTTGCAGGGGAAAAAATATTAGCCACTGAATTTGGGCGAAATGAGGTATCCTTACAATGGATTCGTAAAGGAAACGTAAAATTTTGTCGTACAAAAAAAGCGCGAAATTAACAAAAGCAAGAAAGATAATATTTGGGTCGCATATGTTAACCTTTAATCATATACCTGGGAGGAAATCCAGCCGATTTCTTTTCAGAGGTTTACCTTATGCTAAATTTGTAAATGCTGTACATGGTTTTAAAGGGCCGGTTGGTTGGCAAATAAAGCTAATTTGGGCCCGTACAAAAGGCGTATATTGCTCCCGTTGAAATTACTGTGACCACCCCTCCAATAGTTCTCCCCCCTTTGCCCTTGTATAAAAAGGTATTCTCTTTTCCCAAACTAATCAATTAAAATAATTGGGGTTTAAATTTCTAAACAAGATGAAAATTTATGTAAGTTTTACATCCCCCTTGAAAAATTTGGGTAAAGAGGGGAAGAAAATCTATGGGAAAAAGAATTAAATTGATGATGGGAAAAAAAATTGTGAAAATTCTAAATAGAGAAATTGGGGCTGTATTTAGAGAACAATGTAAATTGGTCAGGGATTACAAAAAGCTGACTGGGTGATTATGCTAAACACCCTATCTTACTGCCCCAAAAATCATCATCAACAAATTGATTGTTCTAAATGCCCCTAAAAAAGAATGCATGATGGGGAAAAAATACCTTTAAAATTTTTTAGGGGAAACTTTTTGGTTCCCCAAGGACCAAAGTGTAAAAAGGGTGACTAAATCTTATGTAATATGTTGCCTGTGGATGCCAGTCCTATATGTACCCAGGTCCCCACCCCCGCCAAAAGGACGTGTACAATTAGTGAAACCATTTGATGTAACAGTGTAACATATGGTCCAATAATTTAACAGGGACGTCAAATGGTTTCCCCTGAAAGGAAATTTTTTTTTGTTCACCCCGTACTGCTATAGGGGAGTTCATTTTGAATGGGACAGGACTTGTCTGCAGAACAGTTTAACAACTTTTTTAAATTTGCAGCAGGAATCCCGTCCGAGGTTGATTGATTTGTGCCATAAATTTTGTAGCAGGTGCTCAAACTTTATAAATAAAAAAATATAACGATGTTCAATCTCTTTTTTCCCCCGGGGTTTAAACCCGGAAAAATTTTTACTCCTAGACCTCTTGGGAGGGGGGGCTGTACGAAAGAGAAGGCCAGTGAAGAGGTGTCCCCGCAAAGTACTACCCGGAAGAGAATTAATTTGGAAAATTCCCTGCAGTTTATGGGGCAGAAAAACGTATAAATAATAGGCCTCTCTCGTACATATGATACACCTGACAGAGTATTAACACCTTCTCACCTAATTGCGGAAGGGAAAATTGGAAGCTGCCCCCGCTATAGAGATAATCTGGAAAAAGTGATGAAAATTACAATGATGCAGCAGTTTGTGAATAAAATTTAAAATGTTAAAAAAGTACATGTAAATTTAAACATTGGTTAAAAGTGTGGCGTAAGGAAAACTTCTTACACTACTGAACACTTTTTTGGGCGACAAGGGGATAAAATCACAGGGCATTCAACCAGGTACAAATTGTTTTTACACTGAAAAACATAACAGGGGCCTCTGGGCAAATATTGACATTGTACCCAATGACAAGGTGTTTTTTCGGAATGTCAAAGTGTTGTGTCGGGCCAACAATTAAAAAATTGATTCCCTTGGAATAGGTGTTCAAATCAAAGAAATGAAAATTTTTGGGGGAAAATGACACGAGTTTATGGAAAATAACGAGACCAAATGATGCCGGAAGAGAAAGTATAAGCCCCAATAGGGAACACACTCAAGCCAGAATGGTGGAAATTTTCTCCTAAAGGAAGGAGTAATTTGAAAACGTTTTGCAATGAACTCCGGGCCCGGGTGCGGTGGAAAAACTGTCAATTTTTCCAGAAAAACAGTATTTTAATGTAAATAGATGGCCATACTGGATTTTAAAAATATTTATGTCATAGAAAAAGGGAAAACCTGGTCTGCCAGACGAACTCGCCTTTGGGTTTTTAATTGGGTACAACGTTTGTGAAATGGAAGGAATTTCGTGCTTAGAGGTTTTTAAATTGGGCGACCCTCCAAATAGGAGGCGAAATTTTTAACAGCATTCCTGCATAACTTGGTTTAAACAGACGACTGGACAAGACAGCTCCAGGAACCTCAGATAACCTCTAGATTTGTGCATAATTCTGGCCGTGTTTTCAAAATTTTTGTTAGGAGGTTTTTCTGAGATATAAACAATACCCTCAATTGGTGATGATATTAAGATATATTTTTCCGCCCGTTTGTAATTGTGTTATATATAAACATTTATTTTTTTTAATAACAGTCCACAAAATTTAATTTTACCAGTTTCCCGGGTTTTACATTTTCTTTTTTAATTTAAAAGGTCCAAGCAACTTGTGGTAGACATGGTAGGTTCGAAGGGGACATTTTTTTGCGACCTAGGGGTTCCAAATTTCCCACTTGTCTAACTGATAAAATTTAAAAATTTTTCTTTGTTCATTACTGTTATGATATATGATACATTCAGCTAAATGCAATTTTCCCCAATAGAAATGACCAAGGCAGGGTAAATGTCCCCCTGTCGTGTGTTTGGCAATTTGAGTACAATTTCAGTACCAATAGTAGTGTCAGAACAAAGATTTTTATAAATTAACAAGTACTACTACAAATTGACCAAACATGTTTATGTAAAACCCGCAAAAACAAAGCGAGGGCCGACGCCATCATGTGTAAAAGCTCTTACTTGCCAATGTTAGGAATCCTTAAAAACCGTAAATACTTTTAATAAAGCTAGGGTCCTTAACCTGTCAAACCCGGGGTAAAAAAAAAAAAAAAAAAAAAAAAAAAAATGTCACCTCTTATGTTATCTCATCTTATCACTTCACTGTCAGGGGTGGACTGAGGCTTGTTTTACATGCTTCAAGGGAACTTATTATTATTATTATTATTATCATTATTATTATTTACTTTTTTTATAACCATCGGCTGATTCCCACCACGGCAGGGTGGCCCAAAAAAGAGAAACTTTCATCATCATTCACTCCATCACTGTCTTGCCAGAGGAGTGCTTTATGCTACAGTTATAAAACTGCAACATTAACACCCCTCCTTCAGAGTGTAGGTAAGTCCGGCATGCGGACGTCAAGTATTAAAAACCATTTGTCTCCATTCACACCTATCAAATACCTCATGCAATGCTTGCTGGAAGTCCAAGCCCCTCTCACACAAAACCTCCTTTACCCCCTCCCTCCAACCCTTGCTAACACTCCCTACCCCGGGGTATCCTGCGTGACTAACACTCCCTACCCCAGGTTATCTTGATTATCTATTAACAAAGGAACTTTTGTTCCTTTGTAAATAGAGATAGAAACTTGACTTTTCCAATTAGATCCGGTGGACGCCCTTGCCCAGCCCCAGCAGAGAGGGACGTCCACACCCCCACCAGAGTACAGTAACTGGCTTCCTACCAAACACCGTTAAAGAATTTCCCGCAGAGCGGAAAAAATGGACCTGGCTAGAGTAAGCCGATATACAGGTGCCCCTCCTGTAGAGTGCCTGGCGGGCAAAATAGATGAGGACAAGCGTCCCATTGAGAACGGTGGAAATTTGTCACTGATACTCAGGCGAGAGAGAGACGTCCACACCCGACGAAGGCTGGCGCAGAAGGAATTTGGATTTGAATTACTGTAAGCACCTAAATTTGTTGTTTTGTTGGGGTTTATAGAGCCACTGACAGCATACGCCGTATCGAGCCCTGCCTATCATCGCTCGGAAAAAGGAACTTCGACCAAGGTGGAATAAGTAAGTAAGTAAGTAAATTTATTCAGGTATACACAATACAGTTACATAGAATTATCATACATAGCAGCATATGTGTAGAGAACCTAGGATAACCCAAAAAAGTCAGACAGAGTGACTTATTTCCATTGGGGTCCTTTTACCTTATTATTATAATATAAAGGTTATAATATTTTCTTATTATTCTATAATGAAGAATAACATCTTATTATCATACTAAAAAGACTATCTACTACACGAGGGTCATTAAGACTATCTACAATACGAGGGTCATTAAGACTATCTACTACCCGAGGGTCATTACGACTATCTACAATACGAGGGTCATTACTAGGGATAAGGTAAAATTTACACGTATTTTAGCTAAAAAATAGAAAAATCATTCCCCTCCCTTTCTGTTGCTTCATTCATCAGCCTACTTTTTGGCAGTCTTCTTGAACTGGTTCAAGCTAAGACTGGCCTTGACATTTGTGGGTAGTCTGTTCCATTCCTTTATTGCTGTACAATAAAAGGTGTTTGAAGCCTGGCCACTGACTGTGGGTACTACAAAGTTGTGCTCTCTCCCCTAGTACTATGATTGCTTTGGTTCCCAACCTTGACAAAATTGACAGCAAGATATTCTGGACACTGTTCGTGAGCAATTTTATAAACATGATTTAGCTTCAGTTGTTTTACTCTGTCTTCAACATTCAGCATATCCAACTGCTGTAATTCATCCTGGCCTACATGTTCTCTTGGTCCCAGCCCCAGGATGAATCTTATGATTTTGTTCTGGGTGATTTGCAGTCTATCTTTCAGTTTTTTTGTCAAGGCAGAGTACCAAGAAGAGCAAGCGTAATCCATATGGCATTGTATAAGGGCTAGAACATAGGGTCCTGCGGAGCCTCAGTAGGTAGACACTGTGCTTGTCTATACAGGAATTTCAGCTGGCATTCGCTTCTTTACTACACTGTTCCTATCAATTCTCCTGACATGCATGGGTCAAAGGGGATTCCCAGATATTTAACTGATGAAACCAAAGTGATGGACTCCCCATTACACTGAACATTAAAATTATTTACCCTTCTCAGTTTATGTTTCGTTCCAAAGAGAATGGCTTCAGTTTTCCCTAGGTGTAATGATAGTTTGTTGTTCGGATTTTTAACCCCGGAGGGTTAGCCACCCAGGATAACCCAAGAAAGTCAGTGCGTCATCGAGGACTGTCTAACTTATTTCCATTGGGGTCCTTAATCTTGGTACCTATTTGCTGCTAGGTGAACAGGACAACAGGTGTAAGGAAACGTGTCGAAATGTTTCCACCCGCCGGGAATCGAACCCGGGCCCTCCGTGTGTGCAGCGGGAGCTTTAGCTTATTTGATGTCCCTAATGAGCACTGAAGGCACAAAGAATGCGCAGGTACTGGCCAAGACCTCCTGACGGTCTGGTGGGTCAAACTTTTCCCCAGTAAGAAGGAGAGGTGAGGTTAAAGATTGCACCCCGAATGTGAGCAAGACCGCACGGAGAAGAGTCCGTGCAGAGTAGTAACGGTGACACAACAGCAGCAAGTGTTCCACCGTCTCAGGCTGTGAGGGACACCACGGGCAGTAAGAGATAAGATAAGATAAGATTTCGTTCGGATTTTTAACCCCGGAGGGTTAGACACCCAGGATAACCCAAGAAAGTCAGTGCGTTAGGTAAGACACATATGCAACAGTTAGACAACTTTATTCCGAAACGTTTCGCCTACACAGTAGGCTTCTTCAGTCGAATACAGAAAGTAGGCAGGAACAGAAGAGATGTGAAGACGATGTAATCAGTCCATCACCCTTAAAGTAGTAGAATTTGAGGTTGTCAGTCCCTCGGCCTGGAGAAGTTCAGTTCCATAGTCAGGAACTATCTGAAGATCAAGCGACAGTGCGGAGACTTAAATACTGTCGGAAGGAGAGGTGCAGGGTAGTAGTAGTAGTAGTAATAGTAGTAGTGAGAGGCAACTGAGAGGTCATGTCCCTCTCAGATCCAACCCTTCTCACTTGAAAAGCTTGTTCAAGGTGTTTTCTGTACCAAGATGCCACGTGTTGCAGTGTCTGACAAGATGAACATCAAAATGGTATACAATACCGACAGGTTGTTAGGTAAGACACATATGCAACAGTTAGACAACTTTATTCCGAAACGTTTCGCCTACACAGTAGGCTTCTTCAGTCGAATACAGAAAGTAGGCAGGAACAGAAGAGATGTGAAGACGATGTAATCAGTCCATCACCCTTAAAGTAGTAGAATTTGAGGTTGTCAGTCCCTCGGCCTGGAGAAGTATTGTATACCATTTTGATGTTCATCTTGTCAGACACTGCAACACGTGGCATCTTGGTACAGAAAACACCTTGAACAAGCTTTTCAAGTGAGAAGGGTTGGATCTGAGAGGGACATGACCTCTCAGTTGCCTCTCACTACTACTATTACTACTACTACTACTACCCTGCACCTCTCCTTCCGACAGTATTTAAGTCTCCGCACTGTCGCTTGATCTTCAGATAGTTCCTGACTATGGAACTGAACTTCTCCAGGCCGAGGGACTGACAACCTCAAATTCTACTACTTTAAGGGTGATGGACTGATTACATCGTCTTCACATCTCTTCTGTTCCTGCCTACTTTCTGTATTCGACTGAAGAAGCCTACTGTGTAGGCGAAACGTTTCGGAATAAAGTTGTCTAACTGTTGCATATGTGTCTTACCTAACAACCTGTCGGTATTGTATACCATTTTGATGTTCAAAGTCAGTGCGTCATCGAGGACTGTCTAACTTATTTCCATTGGGGTCCTTAATCTTGTCCCCCAGGATGCGACCCACACCAGTCGACTAACACCCAGGTACCTATTTGCTGCTAGGTGAACAGGACAACAGGTGTAAGGAAACGTGTCGAATGTTTCCACCCCGCCGGGAATCGAACCCGGGCC